GCGGGATTCGTTCCCCATCAGGGCGGCGCGACGGCGCAAGGGCGCGACGAGGAAAACCGCGCGTCGCGCATCGCGCACCGCGGTGCGCGACGCCATGTGACCTGGGGTAGCTCTTCCCCTCCCCCATCCAGGCCCGCTCTTCACAACCGCGGGACAACTGCAATAATAACGTGATCCTTACGGGCAATGGAGGGGGAGGAGGAGGAGGAGAGGGCGAGGAGGGGGAGAAATGGGAACAACAATGATGACGAACAAAAAATGGGGGGGGGATGCCGCTGGAGGACACAACTTCTTCTGGACTCTCTGGGGACTGCGGGTGCCTCTGAAGGGCCGCTTTGGGCCTCGGGAGCCCCGCGGATGGCTTCGGCGCGCAGGGGGTGCCCAGGATCTGGCGCGAGAGCTCCGGGGGGCGAAATCCAAGCCGATTGTGACCCAAAAGCCAGCCCCGTCGAGCGTGTCCAGAAGCGTTGCGTTCAACCGTGGAGCGGGCAATCCTCCTCGACGCAGTAGCAGTGGCAGTCGTAGCTCATCCGCGGAAGATCGCGAGATCCTGGCGGTCGGCAGGGCACGGGGCGAAGGGGGGCCAGCGGTCTGAACGTCACATCCCTTCCGAACCCGCACCCTTCTCTCCCCGCCCCCCTGCCCCTCATTCCTTGCGCATCCCCCCCCCTCTCCACCCCCTCCGCACTTTCTCGAGAACCGCCGCGCCCCTGAGCTCCCTGGTGGGCCGCTAGGTTGGTGGAGAGGGCCCAGCAGAGGCTTCCATCCCCGAGCTCTCAACGCTCGGCGGCGTCGCCGACCGATGAGGGCTGCCGCCGCCGAGCGCTGAGGGGGGGGGCCCGGGGGGGGGAGGCGCCCACCCCCGAGCTCCCAACACTCGGCGGCGTCGCCGATCGTTGAGTGGGCTGGATCGGCGACGCCGCCGAGCTATGAGGGGGGTCCCCGATGCGTCCACCCCCGGGCTCTCAACATTGCTGGCGTCGCCGATCGTTGAGAAAGCCCAGTCGGTGACGCCACCCCCGAGCTCTCAACGCTCGGCGGCGTCGCCGATCGCTGAGGGCCCGATCGGTGACGCTCGCTGAGCTCTCAACACTCGGCGGCGTCGCCGATCGCTGAGGCGTCGCCGATCGTCGTTGATTGAGGAGAGGGCCGGATCGGTGGCCCCTCCGAACGTTGAGAGCTCCGGGGCTGCCACCCCCGAGCTCTCAACGCTCGGCGGCGCCGCCGAACGTTGAGAGCCCCGGGGTAAGGCGTCGTCCAGACGCCACCCCCGGGCTCTCAACACTCGACCCTCTCCCATGACCTCTCTACCCCGGGGCTCTCAACGTTCGGCGGCGCCGCCGAGCGTTGAGAGCTCGGGGGTGGCAGCCCCGGAGCTCTCAACGTTCGGAGGGGCCACCGATCCGGCCCTCGGCGACGCCGCCGAGTGTTGAGAGCTCGGGGGTGGAGTCGCAGATCGGGCTCTCTCAACGATCGGCGACGCCGGCGATGTTGAGAGCCCGGGGGTGGACGCATCGGGGATCCCCCTCAACGCTCGGCGGCGTCGCCGATCCAGCCCACTCAGCGATCGGCGACGCCGCCGAGTGTTGAGAGCTCCGGGGTGGGCGCCTCCGGGCTTTCTCTTTCTTTCTCTCTCTCTCTCTCTCTCTATCTCTCTCTCTCGCTCTCTCTCAAGCCACCCCCTTCGAGATCAGATATCCTCCAGAACGAAACATTCTCCTAGAGCACACTGGGGCGCCCCCGCCCCCGCCCCCGCCCCCCCTTCCCCCGCCCTCGCCATTTTTCTGGCCCCGACGCAGCCAGTCAGCTGGTGCGTTACTGCGATGGTTGCACCCTCCGCGTCCACGCCTTGATGGTGAAGATTCGGTTAGGTACAGACTTTACGGGTCTCAATGCACCACTCCTTGCGTTGTGGCAACTCGGTGCACCTGTTGATCACGTGTTTTCTTGCGACAAGGAACCGGCGGTCCAGCGCTTCAACGCCGCTGCGATGCCCGCCCAGCATCTATACGACGACATCGAGCAGAGAGACCACTCGCTTGTTCCAGAAGTAGACTACTACCATTTCTCCCCGCCGTGCCAGTCGTTCTCTGCCGAAGGAGTTGCGGGCCGACCTGTCGAAGGAGACGATGCACGCGACGCGTTGTTTCGGCACAGCTTGGCATACATTGCGAATCGCACCCCGAAGCTTGTGACGTACGAGATGGCGCCAAACATCAAGATCAAGCAGCACAGGTGGGTGATGCGAGAGATCAAGGCCGAGTTGGAGGCGCTCCGCTACACCGTGCAAGTGAAGACGCTACACTGCGAAGATCATGGTGTCCCCCATCATCGGCACAGGTTGTTCATGGTCGCGTGCCGCGACGGGTGGGCGAAGCCGTTCACGTGGCCGAAGCCTGTCGGCTTCAAGAGGACCTTGGCTGAGATCCTGGTGGCATCGCCGTCAGACGACCCGAAGGCACTCCCCCCGAAAGGAGCTACTAAAGGAGACCAACGGCGCAGGGCCCTTGTTAAGACTAAGTATAGAGCTCACCTGAAAGAGAAGATCAACCCGGCCAAGACGATCGTCATCACGGACATTGGATGCAGCCTCTCGCGCGGCAACTCGAGCACCAACTTGACCATTGAGGGCCTCTTCCCGTGCATTACGAATCGTCGAGCAAATGCATTGGACTATTGGATCTCGGTGCGCGGCCGACGCGTCACGCTCCCAGAACTGTTTGAGCTCTCTGGCATCGACTGCGATTTGCCGGAGAAGCTGGCTGCGTGGTCGAGCTGCAAAACAAAAGTGTCAGCCGGGCAGATGGGGGCGATGATCGGCAACACGATCCCAGTGAACATCATGGAACGGGTGCTTCAGAAGGCCTTGTGGGCGTCTGGATTGGCGACCCGCCGCTTGCCAGATAGGTGCAACCAGAAGAAGACGAAGGTAAAGCAGATCGGTTGCTAGCGGCGGGCGCCCGCCCGCAGGTCGGCAGGCCGCGCGGGCCGTCAACGACGACGGCGCTGCCATCGGGCCAGTTTTTTAGCGAAGATAACGAAGATAGCGGTGCTGCGTCACATCCACCTCCTCCGCCCCCCCCCCCCTCCCGCTCCGCCTCCCCCCCCCTCCGCCTCCCCCCCTCCCTCCGCCTCCCCCCCCTCCGCCTTCCTTGTCCCTGTCCTTCTCCGCTTCCCCCCCCCCTCCCACTCCCTCCCCAAAATCCCCTTTATCCCCCCTTCCTCGGCTTTCCCCGAAACTGCAGTGACCCAAACCTCGCGCGCATGCTTCATCGCCCTGCCCTGCCTCTTGCCCAGATCAACCCATAGCCCTGCCCTGCGATCCGAAGAGCCAGGCAAATGGCGGGCTTCGAACAGGGCCTCGCCGTCGAGGGGGCGACTACTTGACCTCTCATGTCCGGCGGACGGCGGCGGAAGGCCAGCGGAGGCCGGCGGAAGCAAAATATATCCCGCCCCTCCATCCCCCCCAGAGATGTCAACAACGTTTTTGGACCCGGGGTTTCCCGCGGCGCCCATGTCGACGCTCCTCTCGATGTCGCGAGCGCTGGATTGCAGGGATGATGGGCGGCCCTTGGGACCTTAATTTTCGGGCAAACGTCATCAGGCTCCAAATCAATCTGGCGCACGCTCAGGCATCGGGGAAATTTGGGCCGAGTGGCGCAACTACTACTACTACCACCGTTGCCGGGGGACCAACTTCTGGACAACCTTCTCTTCTGGGGTATGAGGGCGCGTTGGCTGATTTGGACCTCGGGGGCCACGCGGATAGACCCCGGCACGCTGGGGCGCCCTGGGAGGCTGGAGGCGTTGCGGAGTGCGTTCCGGGAGAGAGTCTCCGGAACGCTTTGACACAAAACCAACCGAAATCGAGCGTGTCCAGAAGTTGCGTCCGTTCACGCGGCCCGCCCTGCCGCCCGCATCCCTCATTCCTTCTGCGCCCTCATTGCCCTTTTTGTCTCCCCGGTCACAGACCGCCAACGTAACTATCATCGCAGCCAACCTAACTCAGCAGGGCGAGGCCGCCGGCGGGCGACTTTGCAGGCGGCCCCCCCCGACTGTGCGCCAGCCGCGCTGTCGATGAGCCCAAAGAAACGATCCGCCACCGATGCCGGCGCCTCCGCGGCGAAAAGGCCCAAGGCGAAGGCCACGTCGACGCCCCTCTCTGCTGACCCCGCCGAGTCGCCGCACGACGAGCAGACGACGGCGGTGCCCGAGCTGTCAGGCGTGAACGCAGATTACTTCACTCATGTGCAGAAGTGGCTGGCCACCATCAAGCAGCACGTCGTGTTGCAGACGGCGTTCGCAGACAGCGTGGAGCCGGTCGCTGTTAGCGATGGCGCGGTGGTCCCCCCGATCGACATCGGCGTTGTCGCGAAGAAGCTCGAGTCGATGGACGCCAACATCGAGGGGGCGACGGTCGTCGGCACTGGTTCCGTCCCTCTCGCATGGATCGACACGCTGATGAACCCCACGCCAGGTGTCCAGATCAACATGAGCGACGTGGACCTGTTCATCAAGCGCGACTTCAAGAAAACGTCGGCGCTGCCTTCTAAGCTGCGCACGATTGCCATTGCACTGACGGAACACTCTACCGAGCCGTTCGTGGCAAAGAAGTTGCAGAGTTTGAGCGCTTTCGAGAAATTACACGCCCCCATCAAGGCCTGCGCCGATGAAGTGGACACTGGCACGATGACGGATGCCCGGGCCCGGGACTGGTTGAAGCTTTTCCGCCAGGCTTCGGAAGCGGAAAAGAGGGGTGTGATGACTAGGGGGGGGGGGGATTTCATGGCGCGGGCCATGATTTTTCTTCAGATTTCATGGCGCCTCTTCTTATTTCATTACGCCCCAGGCCCCCCCGCTGGGCCGCGCACATGCCGCCCGTCATGATTTGCCCCCCCCCTCTTGGACACCCCCCTCTTGGCCGCCCCCGACAGGTTCCAACCGAGGTGTACCGCGTTAACCAAGCCGACATCGCCACCGCCGCGTTCACGCTCCGGGAGGACGCGAAGGATGAGGCGCACATCGTGTCGTGGACGACGCTGCAACGGATCCAAATTGTGATGCGAGAGAAGTACATGCTGAAACTAGCAACGGGTAAGGATCCCACAGAGAAGCAGTTGGAGACGCACTTCGAGAAGAAAGTTCACCTGGCTGCCAAGAGCGAGAAGCTGTCCTCTTCGTTTATCGACATTGCGAATACTGTCCAAGAAAGAGCCCTTCGCCACAAGGGCATCGCGGAGACCATCAACACTCTGGACCGCCACTACAAGCACGCTGGACCGACATTTGGGATTGGGAAGTTCCAGATCGTGATCAACAGGTGCAAGACTGCCCTCAACGTCGAGTGGTGCTACAACTACTTGTTGGACGCACTATCGATGGAGTTCATTGAGCTTTCCGATTGCAGCATCTCCAAAATGAACACGTGGATCTGCGACCTCGCCCTGATTAAGTTGAGCAGCGGGGATTACTTCCTCAATCAGTGGGCCCACAGCAACGCGTTCACGGCTGAAGAGATCGGTTGGTGCAGGAACGCGTTCGCCAGCCACGAGTCGGCGCGGGCGACCTTGACGAACTACCCAGGTGCATCGTCGGTCGACATTTCTAGCCTTTACGTGAGCGGCGCAGGCACGAAGCGGCGCAATGCCTTTCGGTTGGCCGTCGCTTTCTGGGAGAAGATTGTGTTCGGGAACGACTTCGACACCGCCTTGAAAACGGCGGCGAAGAACGCCAAGGGGCCCGAGGAATATCTTGCTGAATACACGGCGTTCGAGGAAGACCTGACGGAGCTAAAGGAGGAGTTGAAGAAGGAGCAGCAGCAGGCGATCGCCATGGACCCCGATGGAGCGGCAGCAACGCCGATGCATGGCGAGGCGGCCGCCAGCCGCACCGGCGACCACCAGGTGGAGGAGAGTGGCCCGACAACGCAGGTCTACGCCATCAACGAGTTCATCACCAAGAAGATCCCGACGGATGTCACCGACCCGAGGGC